GAGAGCATATTTTTCTAATGAAGCAAATGGTATATCCTTTGTTAACCAAAAAAGGCAGATAGTGTAAAGTAAGTCTTCGTATTTCTCTGTTATCCATGGAAATCTCTGACCTTTTTACTCATGGAACTACATGATAATATAGAATAAAATCCTAATTACCTGTAACTATTTTTTTAAATTCAAACTTGAATTAAACAAAAGTCCTTATTTGTAGAAGCTGTAGATAAACATATTAATTTGGCATCATTTTAATAGTTTTTTTAGTATTTAAAATACTTAGAACTGTGTTTCCTGTTTTAAAAACAAAGCTATTGCCACTGCTAATAAAGCTGTTGGAGAGAGGCTGAAAAGACTGCAAAAATCTGCAGATGTGTATAAAGACCGACTTGGACTAGAAATTCGAAAAATTTATGGTAAGCATTTGAATATTAATAAAACATGGAGGATGTAAGATACAACTTTGAACTTTAGATTTAATGACTTGATTGTGTATATTTGAGTTCATCCTAAGGTGCTTTGTGCATGTGTGTCCGTGTTTAGTTTTGTTGTTCAACACTTAGCTTACTGTTTAAAGTTAATTTTCATTTTAAAATGGAACTGTATCATGGCCATAAAAGTTAGGCAGAAGTATTTGTTTACATAATTTGATATCTTAGGAAATCATTTTTCCTTGGCACACATACCTCCCCCTGCTATTAACAGTTTAAGAAAATTCTCCATCCTGACATAACCACTTCAATTTGATGTTGAGTGTTGAACTTGATCATGTAATCTTTTTCCCTTTCAGGGGACAAATTGCAGTTTGTATTCACTAATATTGACCCTAAGGATCCTGACAGCCCATTTATGTTTTCCCTGAAACTGAATGAAGCAAGGGACTATGAAGGTATCGTCCTAGCTCTAACTGACATTTCAGATTGGCATCCCCAAATGTAGTTAGAATCAGAAGACTATGATGGAGGATACTGTTTGCACAAGCCGCTGTTTCCATTTCCTGTCTGACTTGCTAAAATATTATCTCTAAGGCAGTGTGACTGGAGTTTCTCTTTAGAATGCTCAGTGCCGCACTGACTGAACAGCATGCCAGAAGACCAAAGACCCTTCATATACAGAATGATGCCCTGTCCTTCTAGGGATCTCAGACTAGAACTCATTAGGAAAAATATCGCTGCCTAAATGAAAATATTAAACTTTATCCAAGGAGGTGGATTTTAAAATGGTTAGAATGCGGGAATCAGAATATAATCATTTATTTTCCCCCAAATGATTATGACAGGAATAATCCCACTCGTTGAAATTGGAACCATTTGATAAGTAGCTTAGTTATTGATTCGGAAGCATGCTAAAAGACCTTTGATTTATGGGGAGTATAAATGATTATATGGACACGAAGAGATGATATTTACATAATGGTGAGACTTTAGGCTTTTTATTTTTTACCTAGTAGCCAGAAAGTTTGGAGGAGAGAACTGATTTAGTAGTTTAATAACAATAACAGCCAAAAAAACCCAGTTCAGGCCATTTCGTTTCAACAAAATGTATAGGTCTAAGATGCATTTTCTTTGGGTAATGCATATTATATTACTAAGTTCTTCGAGCTTGTGAATGTCATTTGTTTCAAGTTAAAGCAAGTTTGTGGTGATTATGATTGAAATATTTAGAGATTAAAGGAGGGAAATGTCCAAAGGGTATTTAGGATATGAAGACCATTTTACATGATTTATAGTTTTATACTCAAAGCACTTTAACAAAATGGAATTGAAGTTCAAATCAGATGAGAACATCGAAACTAGAAAACCTTCTTTCCCACAAAGGAATCTTGAAATTGTCTTTATTTTTCCGTCTAGTGTCTGATAGTTCTCCCCATCTTGAGTGCCTGGCAGAACTTCAAGAGAATTTAAGGAAGACCAAGAATTTTTCAGCCTTTCTTGCCAATGTTCGGAAAGCTTTCGTTGCTATGGTTTATAATGCATAAATAATATAGAAAAGCTGTGTGTTTTTCTTCCCTATTGTATGTTTCTTTTAGAAAGAATTCCTATTCATTGTCTGTCTATAATTGTGTATGTTTGTAATATTTCTGTGGTTCATTTCTTTATTTTTATTAAATTCTCAGGAAAATAATTACAAAGGGATCTGAGTTTTTTATTAAATGAAAGATGATACATGGCACATGATAAATGAAAGATGATACATCAATAAAAATAACAGGCACATGCGATGTAGGATGAGTGTGGACCCTGTGGCCATAATCCCTTTGTGATGTATGTTCTAACCACAATGTCTGGTTAGAATCCTGTGTTGGGTGGAGTCTTGTGTTATGCTGATGAATAAGATTAAGTTGGGATGTATTCTGAGTCTCCACCTTCCTGTCACTATCATAGCAACCCTATAATCCTGTGGGTTTCTAAGACCCTAAATCTTTATGGGAGTAGAAAGCCTTATCTTTCCCCTGTGGAGTGGCTTATGGATTTGAACTGGTAACTCTTCGGTTAGCAGTCCAGTGCACAACTCACTGTGACACCAGAGCTGCTTCCACCTTACTAGAGGGTGTAAGCCAGGTCACCGCCCTGCGTTGGCTTATGTGTCTGACTGAAAGACGAAAACTGCACTTCCGTATAAGAACTACCAGAAGCAGGAGGAGAGCACTTCTAAGACCATCAAGGAAGAAGAGCACCAGAGGAGCATGTTCAGAATTCCTGCTTGCTGTCCGGACACCGTGGGACAGAGCAGAGAGCAGCCCTGAAACAGGCTGTGAGGCAGAGCAGTGTTTGGGCTTCCTGGTTCAAAGGTGAAAACAGACTGAGATCCTACGGCGTAGAGGTTGAGGACCAAAGAGAGACTTGGCTTGCGCTGAGGACAGGTGTTGCTGTGGACCATTTACTTTATCCCTGCTGTTTACTGATCCTGACTTGTTCTTCCCTAATAACTTCTATAATTGTGAGTTTTACCTGTGAGTGCTATATGGCCATTGCAACAAATTATAGAACGTACCAGGACAGGAGAGTGCCATAGGAGGAGTGGTTGGTGTCTGACTAGGCAAAGGAAGATGGAAGGTGGAGTCATGTCTGACTGCTGCCTTAAGGCAATTGGCCTTGGGTGGATGTGAAGGTCTGATGAGGCCTCTGCCCCTCTGTGACATGAATCGTTTGTAGAAGTCCTGGGAATAGGAATTTGTACAGTAAACCTTGTGTCTCCAAGGTCTTCAAATCTGACAGGTCAGAGGCCAGTAATTTTAAAATCTCTAAAGGGTAGATGCAGCCTAGGGTTATCAGTTATTTTTAAGGTACTTAGCAAAATAAATGTGGCTACCATACCCTAGTGTCAGGAAGCCATAGTTATCTCACACCAAGAGGAACATAGAGTTAGAAGAAAGGATAGTCCTTCACAGCAGATGAACGTTCACAGTATTAAGCTATCCAGAAAAGGATATAGTTTTGAAAATCTAAATGCAGAAAATATAATCAATTCCCATTTCATATTACATATACTAGAGTGGGATATAAGTTTGCCTTCTTTGGAATCTTTACTCAAAACAGACCAGACTTAAATGCCAACTTTAAAGGGGTGTGTGTGTGTGTGTGCGTGTGTGTATGTAACTGTCCTTGTAAATCTGACGAAGCTATGCTGACAGTAATGGAAGCCATGTACAATTGTTTCAGTATATCTTGGCCCTACCTAAAAGCCACAGAACTACGCCCTCCATGCTTGCGGTTGCTTTCCCTGCGCTCTGTGATAGCCTGAGAAAAAGAAGTTCGGTCAGTTGTCTTGGGGGAGTGGGAAAGGAGCGCTAGAGAGCTGACTTGCCCCACATGCCGAGGACAGCGCAGGGTCCTGTTCACCATCATCTATGAGTCATCTGTTTCTGAGGAGAGTGCTAGGGACTGGCGGTGTCATCAGGCCCACAGCACTGTGCAGTGCAGCCTTTAGGAAGCACTGATTGGTATACTTTGCAGAGATAAAAGGTTGAAGCATTGTTTTAGCGCTTGGAATCTGCACTATTGATCACAAGAGTTGGTGAAGAACACTGAAATGCCAGCAGACCAAGCACATGCATCTTAGAAGAAATCCAACCACAGTGTTCCTTAGCCATGAGGATGGCGAGACTCGGAGGAGGGGAATATACGCTGTCTGGAGCTATTTCAGGCAATCAGACTGGAAACCGGATCACAAGCGCTGATTGCGGGGATGGCATTGGTCAGTGTTTAGTTCTTTGTGCATGGGCTCACCATGATTTCATGGCCAAGTTGCAAGCAGCTGACAACAACACAACCGAGATGACAAACTGCTGCAGAGCTCAAACAGCAGCGTATTTGACACTTAGCTTAGGTGAGAATGGTCTCCAGAACTCGGCAAGTCATCACCCCAGGCCTTTATGGGCATAGCAGAAGGAGGGCTATTGGTTTATGAATGCGTCTATGTTGAATTGAGTCTGCTGTCACCATTTGTTACTGTCAAGTCATTTCCCACTCATAGCAGCCTCGTGGACAACAATGACACTGCCCGGTCCAGCACCTTCCTCTAAACAGTTCTATTTGAACCCAATGCTGCAGCCGCAGCTTCAGTCTATCTTGTTGAGAGTGTTCCTCTCTTTTATGCCAGCCCCCTACCAAGCCGGTCCTTTCTGGATCTCTTACTGATATATTAGCTTCGATTTTAAACTTGCCATATTATGACGAAGGAGCTTTGGTGGCTCAGTGGGTAAAGCACTTGACTGCCCACTGAAAGATTGGATGGACTCACCGGTTGCTTCGTGGGAGAAGAGATGTGGTAGCTATCTTCCATACAGATTCCAGCCTTGGAAAGCCTTTGGGGCAGTTCCATTCTGTTCTATAGGGTTGTTAGGAGTCAAAAGGAACTCGACAGTGAGTCAGTGGGTTTTTCGGTTGTGTAGTATGAAAATCGCACTTGGAATGACTGACAGTACACATGAAAGGCAAACCAAACTATCCTATTAAATTGCTCTTTCACACATTATATTTTTTCAGATGGTATGCTATAAAAATGAGTGAAGCATTTTAAACATTAAAAATTTTCCTAATGCGGAAATAAAGCTGAGGAAGAAAAAAGATTTTCTTAAATGGGAAAAAAATATGCACGAATAGTACAGTTAATTGAAATGGAATTCAAATATGATTAACTAATCTATTCCACATTTTGTAATGGACTCTAAATAGGATCAACTAATCTATTCCACATTTTGTAATAAATGGAGTAGTGAGATCTTTTAAAATTAAAGTTAATTACTAATGAAGTTTTTTTTAAGACCCCCAAATCAGCACAAAATCTGATGCATTGTGCTAATAGATTTAGAATCTTGATTTCCAGGCTAACGAAAAGTAGAAAATGTTGCTTTGCTTCCAATTCCAAGAATTTTGTACAGAGACAGTTGCTGTGTCATGCAAAGAGCCCTGGCGTCACAGTAGTTAAAACAAAGATGTTCAATCCCTATCTTTTAGCGGAGTTGTCTACTTAGCTATCACCTAATCTAGTGTCATAAACAAACAAAAACCAAACTCACTGCCACCGAGTCGATGCCCACTCAGCTAGCCTCCAGGACAGGCTGGCACTGCCCCTGTGAGTCCCATACTGTGGCTCTTTATGGGAGTAGAAAGCTCCATCTTTCTCCCAGAGCTGCTGCTGGTTTCAAACTGCTCACCTTGTGAATTGCACCCTGATACGTAACCATTACACCGCCAGGGCACCTTTGGTCTGATACATAAAAGCTTAATATTTAATGTCATATTATCCAGTCTCAATAGAGGATTATTCGATAGAGAATCAAAATTACCCTGAAAAAAGAGGTGGCTTGTTTAATAATAGTTGCAGAATTATTGCTGAGGTGTTTTGCCAAAGTTTGTGAGACGTCCTACCATTCTAAGGAGCACGCTGGTTGTACTTCTTCCAAGAAAAATGTATGTTTTCTCACGGTATTTTCAATGTTCTTCACCAACACCGTAATTCAAATGCACCAGTTCTTCTGTGCTCCTTCTTGTTCAGTGACCAGCTTGCACATGCATAGGAGGCGATTGAAAATACCATGGCTTGAGTTAGGCGTAGCTTAGTCCCAAGTGACACCCTGTGTTCTTTAATTCTTTAAAGAGGCTCTTCTGCAGCTGATTTTCACAAGGCACTTTCTCGACTGCTGCTTCCCCAAATGTTGATTGTGGATCCACGACCATGTCCTAGTATTGTCAAATATGAGAAGGGTGGAAAAGAATGGTGTGATGTGGAGATATTTAGTTTTGACACATGTTCTTCCCCTCAGTCACTCGGCAAGATGGAAGTGTGACGATGGAGAAGGTCCAACAAAGGGGAAAACAAGAAGTTCTTGTACCCCACTGAACAAATATTTACCAGAAGTGTAGAGCTAGGTCATTTGAAATGCAAATAAATGTGGTTTGGATAATGATGGAACTCTGGCATTGTAACTTGTCTTGTGAAAAAGCGATCGTGTGGCATGTACATAGCATTACGTAAAAAGAAGTTGAAAATTAAGATTCCGTTTATTCTCTCTATTGCTGAAATTGGCATGAGGCACTAGGCAAGTCACTTCTACCTTTGTGGGCACTCATTTCCCGTCTGGCCCTCCCTGCTATGTACTTCCCCAAACTAGCCATGTTCTTTTTGGTTGATCTGGTCAGGGAAGGTTTCTCCTATTCCCAGTGCACTGTAAGTTATTATCATGAAAGTTTGTTGAATTTTTATAGGGTGTTTTTCTACACCAATATTGGTTTTTATCTTTAATCTGATAATGAGGCAATTTATATTAATAGGCTTTTAAAAAATGTTGAGTCAACCTTGTATTTCTAGAATTAACCCAGATCAGTCGTGATGTGCAGTGCATTTTAAAAATTACAATGTTTGGCTTGGTTTGTGAATATTTTGTTTTGAATTTTTACATCTACAGTCAAGAATGAGATTGCTTATAATTTTCCTTTGTATATTAACTTCATTTGATTTTGGCTTTAAGGTTATCCTAAGTCCCAGACCTCTGAAATTAGTTGAGATGACTTTTTTTTTTTCATCTCCTGAAAAATTTGAATATGCGTATGAAACCCATATTGTTGAATCAATGCCAACTCACAGCCACCCTGTGTGTATTATATAGTCCCAGAGGGTTT